CATTATCTGTGTCAGAAAAAGTCATTCCACTTTACCTCAAAGACATCAGAAAAACTAAAAGAAAAAAGACTTATCTGTCAACTGTGAAATTACTTAACTATATTTTCAAGATTTATAAATAGTGTTTGAGGGCAAATAAAATGCTTAAACTGTGTGTTCACAGTGCTATGAACATTAGAAGATAGACATGCCAAAATACTTCATAAAAGTCTTTCAGGTTCATTTCACATAGGGACCAATTATACCCTCTTTTAAGGTCACCTGTAATGTTTTAGCTTCAAGCAATATGTTCATTCTTTCCGATAAAAAAACCTTTACCTTTTACAGCATGAGCTACTTTTTGCAATCAGTTCTAATCTTTAGAAAAGTTGGAATGAGACATATAGTGTGAAATAATCTAATTAGTTCTTTAAATCTTGATAATGGCAATATCATACTTTCTCAAAAAGCACATATGTTACCAACATCTCAAAAGCTGAAGAGCCCTCTGTAATTAGAATACTCTTTTCACATGTTAGAACTCTGATTTGCTGAGTTAAAGATGTGCTGAAAAACTGGGAATCAGGAGAAAATGCCAAAGACAGAAGGAACATTAGTTTACCTTAAAATAATGCAGTTACGTATTTTAGAACATAACTCAGTTTCTTAGACTTATGCATGCTCTTTTCTACCTGCACTGGTTGACAATTAGATTTCAGAACACGCTATAATATATCAAGTTCAAGCACACCATAGGTCACCTTGTAACTCAGAAATTTTTCATATTTTAAAAGTCAGTGTAGATAGTTAGGAAAATACAAACTTTATTACATTAACAGAAAAAAATATTTCCAGAAAGACCTACAGCACACAACTTTGATACAATGTAAAATTCAGAAGACAGGAATAGCAAATTTTACATATATATTCTTTAGCGGGTTAAAGATTTAACCTTAAATTATTAATTATAATATGCCTAATGTATAACATGTAATGCATGAAATGTAAGTCCAACAATAAGCAAAAATAGCAACCAATTTAGTATCTGCAGTACTCATTTCTCAAGTACCACATAAAAGTACTTTACCACTCTGCTGCTAAATGACAGCCAATTTCTAATTCATCTATAACAAAGTATTTACTAATTCCCCACTAGTCTTATAAAACTTTGACATCTCTGTATCTAAGTTTTCTCTCCTAATTGATATAAACTAGTTCAAGAACACTTCCACCACCACCCCACCCCCCCAAAAAAAAGAACACTTCCACCAAGCCCAAGCTATAGACCTCAGAACTCACTGAAGGACTTGGGGTCAACTTGTTTTTCTGGGTTTTTTTATTGTTTTGGGGGTTTTTTGGCCTTGTTTGGGGGTTTTATTACTATAAGCATAAATTCTATGCTTTTCCATTCATGAATGATACATGAATGATATAGTGAACTGAATCCTATAAAGATATAGTCTTTCATTTAATCTTCAACCTCCAAAAAACTTCATCCTTATATCTGTATGTCAGGGTTAGTGTATATTTTTTAGTAAAAAAAACACAACAGATTTTGATATTTTTTCTCATAAGATGATATATAAAGTCTAAAAACTATTTAAACTGTTTAAAGAACGTCTTACAGAAATACTAAATTACACAACAGATATTGATAATCCAGCATACGTTTAAAACAAATATGAATGCAGTTTAACTGTCTGGATAACAAAGAATTTCAATTTTATTCACGCTTCCCCTCAAAATCCATATAGGTAAGCCAAGGCAAAAAAAATACCAGCAGCTATTCAGAAGCCATCTATGAGCATTCCACATAGAATTCCAGTTTATATCTCTCTTGAACGTGGGACAAGCCCTGTCCCAAGTCACTGAAGAAACAATATTTAAAAAGTATAATTCCAGCAAGCATAACAAAAGAATTTATAATTTTAGTGTTCCTTTTGAAAAGTGGAATGTTTCACATTTCTGACTGGTTTCTAGTTCACAAGTTGTTGTATGAGTCTTACTTGCTACAATTATCAAAACACAGCTCTGATCAACTTTCTGAATACAGTAGTTTAAAAACTAAAAAAAAAATCCATCTGCAAGTTATTAATGTATTTCTTAATATCACTCTTTAATCCACAATTCATAACAAATAATAGAAAATCTTAAACACTTGAAAATTGTATTAACAATCAGACACCAGAAAACAAGTGCCAACCTGAGATAAATGTTTTCTTCAAAAACTGAACACTTTGGGAAAAACAGTAACCTTGGAGATAGACCAAGTCCATATCTCCAAACTGGCATTTCAAGAATACAGTTTTATATGTCAGCTTTATCTTACATTTAAGCCATTTGAAAGTCACAAAACTTAAGACAAAGCCTTTATTTCTCTGCTACTTTTAAATGCATATTCATAATTAAATAAAACTTTTACAGTGTACCTGATTTCCAAATTAGTATTTAAAAGATTTATCACATTCAGTCTAAGATCCTTATGTTGGGAATGGTCATTTACATACTTATTCCTAATAATTCTTGTCACTGTCACATAGAAAACATCAACACTTGACAAATTCAAACTATGAACTAAGCTTACTGAATGTCACAAATTGTACCCAATAGCTACGTCTCTTCAAACACATAGTAACAGTTACAAGGGCTATGGCATGTAAAGCTGAGGGTAGAGGTTAGCAACTAATAAACAGGTTTTTAAAATTAAGACAATCTTTCAGTGTTGATGCTACATTTAGATAAAAAATACTTAGTTACACAAGTGTACCCTAAGATTCTGAAAAACATAACAAAAAAATAGTTTTAGATACAATTATCCATTACTCTGAGCAGGTACGAGAAAGTGCTGACATTTATGAAGAAGTGTACAAAACTGCACAGGTGTAAGCTTAGATGTAGACTGTTGGTACTTACCGTGAGGGAGGCAAATACTATACAGTCCACATCTGCAACCCAATTTTGCTTCAGCAACCCCAAAGACTTAGAAAACATTTTTTTGGGTAGGTTGCAAAACATTGCTTCCTCTTTTATTCTCATCACCCCCATTATAATACAAAGCAACAGACAAGAAAATCAAATCACCAACTGCAAGGGTTGAAGGCTTAATTAAACACACACACTCAAAAGCATCTTCTTTTCAACTACCGAAACGGTATTCATTTCACCTGTTTGTACATCCATATTAACACAATTACACAAACCCTCTGTTGATTTTTTTTTAAAAAAAGGAGCAATTAATGGCTTGGCGTCATTATTCTTCTACCTAGGAAAGGGGGGGAGGGGGATGGTACAAAACAATGGATACTGAGGGACTGGGGAAAAATCGTTTTGTCCTGAAGCCTCTAGCATGGGGCGGGGGGGGGGGGGCGGGAAAGAAGAGTACTTTTCCTCTGTCCCTAAAATCTACCGAGGAAAGAGGTTGCCATTAGGCATGTCCAACAGAGCAGTCTTGGATGCCTACAACTCGCTTCACCAAGCAACACACCCAAAGCCGACTCACCACTCTTCAAGGAACGGAGAGGAGACGGGGAGAGCGCGGTGGGCTTTGGGGAAGGGGCGAGGAAAGACTCCACCCCATAGCACTACCGCCGCGCCAGGGCCCCCGCCAACGATTCACACGCCCACGGGGCGCCCGGCAGCTTGGGCGCGGTGACCCCGGGAGCCCAGTGGAGCAGCACCGTCCTCCAGGCGCCCCCGGCCCCGGTTCTCGAGCCGGTTTAGTCCTCGCCCGGGCGCTGTCCTGGTCGCCCGCCGCCACCGCAGGCCCGGCCCCAGACGCTGTCAGCCGGCCGGCTCGCTCTCGGCGCTCGGCTGTGGGCCCCGCACGAGAGCCGGCTACTAGGGCCCGGCCCTCCCGGCGACAGCACCCAGGAAAGCGGCGGCGGCGGCGCCTCCCAGGGCCCCGGCCCCTCGGGCCTCGCCCCGGCCCCGCCGGCTCGCGCCTGTCAGGACGCGCGGGGCCTCCCCCTATCGACAGCCCGCCCGACCGCCCGACGGGCAGGAAGGAAGGCAGGAAGAACCGGCCAACAGGCACCCTCCCGCCTCAGCGGCCCCTAGTTACCGTCAGGAGCCGCGACTCCGCCATCCTCCTCGCTCGCCCTCCTTCCTCCTCCTCCTTGGAGGCGACTCTGCCCAACCGCCGCCCCCCGCCCGCCCCTCCCCCCCTCGCCCCGCCCCGCCCGCCCGCCCGCCCCTATACACACTCTCGCTCCTACCGCCCCGCCCCACCCCTCCGGTGCAGGCCCGTCAATCGCTGGGGAAGAAAAACAGGCGGAGCCAGAGAAACAGACGCTGCCCAATCAGAGTGAGGCACTGTCGCCAGCGACGCTACCCAATCAGAGTAAGGTATGGGCGCCTGCTTCCCTCTCTCCGCCCTTTTCCTTTCCTCCGCTCCTCAACGCGCTCTCTCCCGCCCACAGGGCGCCGCTGGCTGGCTGGGCCACAGAGAGAGCCTCCAGCTGGGTAGAGAGACAACTCTCAATCCGAAGTTACTGTTGACGCTAAGGCAGCCATAACTGATAATGGCATCGGGAGTTTCCGGGCCTCCCGTCTCCTGTGTGACGTAGTTTTCCCTTCGCCCAATCTCATAGTTGCCCTGGGCAACAGTTGAGCCGTCTGGGAAGAGATGCATCTGTAAGTAGGCCCAAAAGAGAACCAAACGTGACCAGACATCCGATGTTAAACAAGTTAATTCCTATTCCGGACTACCTGCCCGGGTTCGGGGATAGAGGGAGCAGGTTTCCTGGCCCTTATTCTGCTGGGACGTCTGGTCACTTACTTAGGTGGACAGGAGTTTAGGGCTCCGGAATCCCCTGTCTTTCCCGGAAGTTGCCTTTGACATTTCTGAATGGGGTCATGGCAGAAGGATGGGAATAGCTTGCGCCCCCCCTTGCCCCAGGGAGTACCCATTCTGACAGGAGTGGCGAAGTTAGGTAAGTGTCCCTTGGTCCCGAACCGTGGGTCAGGCCCGAGCAGACCGAACGGCCCCTGGGAGACAAAGCGCAGATGGGGCTAGCCGGACTCAGAGCCGCTTCCGCTGGAAGAAGGTTTTCTTTCCGGGCTGGCCAGGCGGCGGCCCGCCCCCCACCCCCCTCCGCCCCTTTGAGGTTCCCTGTGGAGTGAGGCGGCTCAACCGGCTCCCGTCGCCGCGCTGCTGCAAGCTGGGACGGGAGGGGCCTGGGTGTGGCCCCTAACTCCCGCGAAGTGGAGCTCCTGACCACGCCCCCGCAAAGTCTGTTACGTACTTTCACCCCCTGACCTCTGAGGAGGGAGAATTCTGGAGCTTGAGGAAATCATTTTCCATTCCCAGCTATAAAGGAAAAAGATGGTTACCCACCACCGCGGCAACACCCCTAAGTCTTATTTTCGCACTTCCTGTCTTCAGATTCTGAATTTTCTCCCTTTTCTTTGTTTCTCCTCTGGTGGGGGTTTGTAAGCATTGACTGCAGCTCTGGATGAAGGTATACTGCCCTAATCCTGCGTGTCTACGGTTTATTAAACAATGTGAATATTCGTAAAACTATCGTATTAGTTTTATATGGCTCTTTACCAGAATTGTCACATATTATCTCATGTAGTTCCTTCTGTAGGTTTTGAGTCAACAGCTGTGAGTCATCTTGGTAATATCGGTTTGGATGCCTAAAGCTGCGGGAAAAAGGATCAGGAGAACTTTCAGGTAAACTGAAAATTGTTTATATCCAGGCCAGTCAACAACAAGGGTGCACACCTACCTTCTTTGCTTAGTTTCTTTTTGTATCCTTAGTACTCATGCTCCAGCCAAAATGAACTATGTATTCTTTTCTCTAACAAGGTTTATCACTGAAGCACCAACCTTTTGTGATTCTGTATCCATGTCCTAGTTATAATTGGAGATGTGTTTCCAGATACTCCCCAGCAGGAAGTAATTTTCTCTGAGCTTACCTAGCACTTTTTGTACCTCTTTTATGACAACCACTATTTTGTATAACAGCTGCTTGTGTTCTTAGCTTCACTACCATATTTACTCCTAAATAGAATGGTTTGTATCAGATTTATCTGCCTGTTACTTTACCCTGCACATGATATTATTCTGATAAATACTGAAAAATGGAATATATTGGGTGTCTCCTGGATGCCCAAGATGTTGCCAGCAAAGTTTAAGGGAACTTCAGTTTATCAGAAATTCAGCATAGTCCCTGTTACTCAACCTTTTCTTAGGCTTCCACTCTGAAGTCTCTTCAAAATGATTTCTTCCCCCCATATTTTATTAAAGAAATATTCATACATTAAAAATTTTAAAGAATACAATAAACATTCATGTAGGTTTCACCTAGATCCAACAGTTGTTAACGTCGTGCCATATTTATTTCACTCCTTCTCATACACTTTTTGTCACTGAGACATTTGGAAATAGGTTGCAGACACCTATTGTTAAGCAGACATCTCTAAAATTCCCAACATGTATTTCCTAAGAATTATAAAGTTCTCCTGCAAAACATCATTATCACAACTAAGGAAGTTAATGATTCTGTAGTCTTTGAAATTCAATCCAAATGTAAGTACATTTTCCCATTTGGCCCAAGAATGTCTTTTATACCTTCTCCTCCTTGCAAAAAAAAAAACAAAACCAGGATCCAGTCATGGTTTATGTATTGTATTTGGGTATTATAACTCTTTGGCCTTAATCTAGAACAGTTCCCCCATCTCTCTTTCCCTTGTGACATTGTCATTTTGAAGTGTTCAGGCCAGGGGTCTTTTTGAATATCTCCTTTTTTCTTATTTCTTGTAAATCAGAAGTTGGTCTGGAGGTGTGATTAGATTCAGTTTAACATTTTTTGCAAGAATACTTCACAGTATTCATACTTTTCCAATCATGATTAAGTCTTCTCACATGAAGCTACTTTTACCATACCATGAGCTGCTTGTTAAATCCATCCCACTTCTCAACATAACCACCCTTCTATGATATCCTACAAAGAAGAGTTTGGTATTTAATCCTCTTGTCTACGTAGAGTATGAGAGTGCCCTGCAATGGCAACATAGACTGTCTACCTTTTAATAAAGTGTTGCTGCTACTTTGCCTACACTTGGAGCTGATGCAATGTAATCTTCAGCAAAGTGTACTGATGTCAGCATAGTTTCATGAGTTTTTAACTCCTGGCACCCCAGGGACAGTTGATGAAAGATGTGTGAGCCCTGCAATTCAAATACAGATGAATCTTGATGTTATCAAAGCAGAGACTGAGGCAACTGCTGGCCATCTGGCCACATCCAATTTTGGCAATGTTATTTTTCTCCCTGAAACTCTTGCAAGTCCTAATTAGTCCTGGTATTTCTGTGATAGGCTTTTGGTAGCATTCATCAGAGCTTATTAAAAATTGCAAAATCAAGATTATACTTAGCACTTAGTACATTAGGTACAGTCTGTGTCCAATGGATAGAGGAGTGTTTGCAGAATTTACTTCATAATCACAAGAGGAAAACTCCCCAGATTGCCAAGCTTATGTATTCCTTCTATCCTAGACTTATATTTGATCATGAAAGATAAGCAGAAGGAAGAAAATGCACTTAAGGGGACAAAAGAAAATGCTCTGGTAGGGCAAAATTTCTTAGATTGATATAGAATGTTTTTAGCCTTCATATTGAAAGTTAAGTAATGCACTCCTTCATTCACTTCTTTTGTGTAGAAGAAAATTTGCTCATGGTGGGACTATGAAACAGTTTTAAGTTTACTCCAGATTCAAATAAGGCAAAATAATATACCAATTAAGACCACAGATTTTAGAATCAGACCTGGGTTTCAGGAACAGGCACATTCATTAGCTGGTGACTTTGGACAGTTTACTCATTCTGTTTATCATCTATTAAATGGAGCCGTAAAACCTCTTAGAATTGTTGAACAGAATGAGTCAAACACATAAAATGCTTTATTTTAGCATAGTGTATAGTATATGGTATATGGTCACTGTATGGTAGTTATTATTAGTAGCTTCTAAAGCAGTCCAATCTGAGTACATTGTAGGCATTAAATATTTATTTATTGAATGAGTGCATGACTTTAAGTTGGTTCTCCAACTTTAATGTGGGGAACTTAATTAAAAATTAGAGATTCTGATTCATGAGTCTGGGGAAGACTCCTGAAGAATCTGTATTTTTAATAATTGTCCAGGGGATTTTGATATAGGTGATCTGAGGTTCAGGCTTTCAGAAATAGTAAAGTATCAAACAATTCTTTATTTCCCCTTCCTTGCATACTATTGAAGTAGGTTTATATCTCTGATGCTGAGAATATAAAAAGTTCTTCAGATACGTTTTTTAAAAAAGGTTTAACCCTTTTTTAAAGGTTAGTAGCTAACAGTTTTAGAACCACTTTCTAGTACTGAATTTTGAAAAAACAAATTATTAGAAAAAGGTATTCTGCATGAGTAGGATATGTCATTTTCTACTAACTTAACAGTAGTGTCTGCTACTGGAATGTAACAGAACCAATGGCATCATCCAGGTTCACCCAAGAAGAGCAGTTCCTGTTCTTAGGCCTAGGCATGTTTCAGAAGCTAGACACTGCACATATTATTCACATGAGTCTGGATTAATTAGCCAAATTGAACATGTTGCGACATTTTTCTACCAGCAGATGCCAGATAGCAAAACAAAACAATCTACTCTAGTTTCCACCTACATGACATATGATGTTATTTGGCATCTCTGGTTGAACATCATCAATCCAAATTAAGCAGTCCGCTAGCATGTGGCCAACCACTTGAGTGAGAGTGAGCATTACTAATTTGTATCTGCTGAAAAACACGTTTTTTGGGACTCCCTCTTTCACCTTTTTTCATGTTAGTTTACATTCAGAAATCTAATATGTGTTTGAAAATTCATCTGTCAGTCAACCACACAAGTCTTGCATATGACAAAAGATAAGTTTTTTCATTTTTGTTCCTGCCATTCCTGCCACCCCCATCGACAACCTGCAGCAGGGAAATTGAACTTACTTAAAAGGAATTAATAAATAGTCACAAAAGAAAAATATCCTTTACTGTATTCTACATAAACAAGGTTGCTTCCAGTGCCTCCCTCGGTTCCCAGAGATTGTATTTTCGCTTCTTAATGCCCATTAATGATAAAAGAGGATCGTTTGGCATGTAATATATTGGCGTGGCTCTGTTTTACTGAAGTTGTGAAGTCAGGTGCCTATAGTTGCCGGGCAGGTAATGTTAAGGGAAACAATAGGCAGTGGTGGGGATTGGAGAACTCCCCATGCTCATCTAAATGGGGCATCACTTCCCAGCCCCAGCCAAATTTTGCCATCTGGGGATATGGACCTGGTGTTACCAGATTTGTCAAGAGGAACTAAAATGTGGACTTCATGTGAAATATCCTGATTTTTTTTAAATTTTTTTTTTTGTTTTGAAATCTCCTGACTTTTAAACATTGGTTCGAATACTTTTTAAACATTAATCAAGCCAGCAAAACATTTAACTGGGTAGCACCAAGGGCTACGAGTTTATGACCTCTGTGTTTCTTGCATAAAAACGCAATTGGTACTTTGGTTGAAAATCTCAGAATGCTTTAGAAATGTTTCCTTTTTTGCCGTATTTCAGGTGCATTTACTTCTCTAAGTAAGGTAACAAGTCACTTATCGCCTCCATCAAAAATTAAAGATAGAGGGGCTTCCCTGGTGGCACAGTGGTTGAGAGTCTGCCTGCCGATGCAGGGGACACGGGTTCGTGCCCCGGTCTGGGAAGATCCCACATGCCACGGAGCGGCTGGGCCCGTGAGCCATGGCCGCTGAGCCTGCGCGTCCGGAGCCTGTGCTCTGCAACGGGAGAGGCCACAACAGTGAGAGGCCCACGTACCGCAAAAAAAAAAAATTAAAGATAGACTCTTATGTACACCAAGTGTCTATTTCCTTGATTGCAATTTAAAAGGTTTTTACTCTTTTCCACCAAATTAAAAACTTGTTCACATTTTCTCAACCTTGAATTATATTAGGAAATAAGTTTTCTTTATTATCATATCTTTAATATATTTAAGAAAAATGGGATTTCCCTGGTGGTGCAGTGCTTAAGAATCTGCCTGCCAATGCAGGGGACACGGATTCAAGCCCTGGTCCAGGAAGATCCCACATGCCGTGGAGCAGCTAAGCCCGTGCGCCACAACTACTGAGCCCACGTGCCATAGCTACTGAAGTCTGCGCACATCTAGAGCCCATGCTCCACAACAAAAGAAGCCACTGCAATGAGAAGCCTGCACACCGCAACGAAGAGTAGCCTCCAGTGGTCGCAACTAAAGAAAAGCCGGCGTGCAGCAACGAAGACCCAACGCAGCCCAAAATTAATTAATTAAATTTAAAGAAAAGAAAGAACAATCTGGTAGCCCATGCTCTTTAAAAGTAAATAATTAAGACAGATTTTTAAAGGAAAACATCTTTAAATAGATCATGCTCTTTTGTAGGTACTGTGGTGTTCATGAGGATTCAGAGGGTTTTTAAGTGTGGGAAGGCACTTAACAGGAAATCTACAAGTTTTTTATTATAGAGATATGAAAATTAGACATGGAATAATAAATGTCACACTGTATTTCTAAGCACTTTTACATTCACTTTTCATTTGAACCTTGCAACTCAAGACTGGTACTAAACATGTTTTTTATGAGAAAATCAAACCTCCAATTGGTTAGGAAATGTTTTCAATG